GTCCGGGTGTCCACGGCCGGGCTTCGTCTGTGTCGCTGGCCCCCTCGTCACTGTCGACCGGGGTCGGATTCCGTGCGTCTGGTAGCGAGCGTAGGAGGCCACTCCCCCGCAAGCGAGCATTTGCTCTGGAGCAAATTTACGCCAGTTGCGTTCACACGCGCACATTTGCTTCGGTGCTGCTTCGCAAACGAGCATTTGCTTCGGAGGAAATTTTTAAACCACCTCCCTGAGGTAGATCAAATTTAATGCGCACTAGGCTGTTGAGCGGCGCTACGTCGAAGTAAATTTGCACGTGTGAACGCTCCACTGGCGTAGAGTCGGTGCAGCGTCGGAGTAAATCTTGTCGTGTGAACGGGGCTATAAGGTACTTGGTCCTGAGCTATTAACACATCTAGATATAAACACTATGAACTAAAAGCTGGAATTTTGAACTTTTGTGTCATTCATCTTGTGATCTGAAACCCAAATGTCTTCAGTCCGCAACAACAAAAAGAAATTGACCTTGCCGTTTCAATACTTTTAGAGAGCACTGTATATAGATACCTTGAATCTTTGTGAAAATGTTTTGATAAACTACACTGTAGAATTACACAAAGGGTGTCAGAAGTTGTGTATGACTATCGGCTTCCTGAGTTGGCCGCAGATGACATCGTCAACGTAGAGGAGTCTGGCCTTGACCTCAATGTTGTGTTGCAGCTCCAGCTGGCAGCGGACCAGCGCCCTCTGCTGCTCTTCGGACTGCTCCACTGTTTCATGCAACCTGACAGCGGATGAAATTAGGAATGAGCAAGAAATGAGGAGATCAGGGACATCATGGCAATATACGGCGAGCACGTTTAAGTGAATGCACGTGATGAGACGTACTTGTTGATTTGACAGGCAAGCTGGCCGACCTCGGCGAGGAGCTGTGATTGTGCTGGATCATGGCATTGCTCTTTTGGAGGCCTCTGCTGACGCACATCCAGCCTCGCCTGAGCCAAACTCAGGAAATGCTCATTCTCCGTGACTGCCACCAAGAGATCGTCTCGGTTTCTCTGCTGACTGGCAAACTCGGACAAAACCTAGCACGGAACAACATGCCGGTCAAAACAATGTGCACAAACACCAAATAAAATCATCACTTTGGAATTCTGTGTTGTTTTTATCATCTAGGTTATTAATACAAGACATTTGTTGAAAGGATTTGCTTTCCTCCAAGTCCGCCTTATTCTTCTCCCTTTAGGTTCCATTCAATGCCATTGACAAGTATACTTATCAATTTTGGGGGGGCGGGTTCAACGGGGATGGGTGTGGGAGCATCTAATGATCCTCCACTGTAAATTTCAATTTCATGAGGGTCCTGGGAATGCCCGAGTCTGTTGTTTTTCCTCTTTCAACCCTTTTACACGATCAATCACATGATAATGAACAAAAATGATTGGAATGTTTTGAGATCCATTTTGTTGGTACTTTACCTACTACCCCCAAAGCAGGGTGACAAACCGTTTACATGCATACAAGTTATAATAATGGCATACCATACCAAACTGAACCATAGTATATTAACTGGTGGAAAGGGGAACGTGTTTCCCCCCAATTTTGCTGCTGCAGACTGCAAATTTCCCCAGTGTGGGACAAATAAAGTTTATCTTATCTTATCTTATCTTATTAGAATTGGTATAAAGGCAATCATTAAACATTGAGGGTGGAAAAAGAAATCACTGATGTAGTAATTAACTTGCCTGACTTTTTATGCAGTCAATTCAGAACCAGGTCAGCGATGCTGTGAATGGTTCTCTGTCTTTATAGGAACCCTGTGATTATTCGGACCAAGGGTGTGTTCTGCCTTTTTGCCTTACACCAAAGAGTGAGCTTTAACCCTTTCAGGGACGGCGGTTACTACAGTGGACAGCTTATCATGGTATCAGGTTACAAGGTGCATGAAAGGGTTAAATCGCCCCTACGACTCAATCCAAATCCTACGATCCACGACCATATTTAATCAACTAATCTATATTCCTTTTTCCAATCTATCCCTTATTTTCTAAAATGAGAGTTTTGAGGCCCGCAAGCGAGCCAGGGTTCAGGTTGACACTTGGGGGTGCGCCATTGACTGTCAATCAGTTGGATAGAACGGTTAAAGAGAAAGGCAGATATGGAAATCGCGACACTACCATGACCCCTCTATGATCAAATAAATCACTCCATTGGTAGACTGGTTTGGAATATTCTATGCAATGCACTTGGTCATCACTTATGTGAAAATAAACAAAATGCAGTCCTGCCTTGGTGAGTTGGTCCTCCATGTGGCTTTTGACGGTCTTGAGCTGCTTGATATTGAATTGAAAGGCAGCTGATGTCGCCTGGAATTGCTTTTGCATATCAGATGCAGTTTGTGCCAGCAGAGACTCCACCAGGGCCCTCAGGGAGATGGAGTTTCTCTTCTGCTGCTCTGCCTTAGCGATGTTGAAATCAGAGTGGTTGCCCCACTGTACAGGTGTCACAGATGAACTGAAAGAGGACATTTTATTCCAACTTATCATGGGAATGTGGATGCACACACATATATATATTAGGAGGGATGTAATGGTATTATAAATATCGCATTATTTCGGTGTCAAAAATCCTCATCATAATGCTGTGGAACATGACTGTGTCAAACGGCGCCAGTGTAGCAGATTGAGTGGGCGGCCATCTGAAAAGTGAAACGCCACCTTTTGTTGTCAACATCGTGGGGGCAGTGTGTTGCAAATCATACAGTTGCACACATAACTAGGATAAAAAGAGTCAAAGAAAGTCACGATTTAACTTCATCACTATAGTTCTTTTTTTCACAGAGTAGGAAGAATATATGCCTCGTCGTCCTGTTACATAACCTTTTTTTGCATGGTCTTCTTAAAGTATTTCTGTGGATATTCGTCATTTGACAGTATATTACTCCCGGAACTCATGCCAATAGGGTATTAAATCAGCGTTAGCCATAAGCTAGCACTTTGGGTAAAAGAAGCTAAAACAAAGTATGCGTTCATGTATGATACGATGTGTGTACTTTTGTTTTGTTGTGAGTTTTATTTTACATGAAACTTCAATTGGAGTATCAACAAACAGCTAAAAGAAGACACTCATCCCTTACCGCCGCTACCCCCACCCCCCAAAACAAAATAGTTAATAAAGTTACACTGACAGATCCTTTTGAACATTGAATAGGAATTAAGAAGAACATGGCAGGTCACCTGGAGGAAACTGCCTTGCCATTTAAAGTTTGCTCTGTGTTGATGAGGGAATGCGGGGTCATTGAGGCACAGGATGAATCTAAGTTCTGCGCCTCATATTTCTCCTTGAGATCCTGTTCAAGGGTGAATTTGGCCGATTGGTTCAATCTGGAAAAAAAAAAGATGGGATGATTTCATGAATTAAAATGGACTGACTAGCCACATTATCATCAAAGTGCTCCTTTACCGTATTTGTTCAGCGATCTGCTTCACGACACGCTGCATGAGGGCCGTAACTCCCTTTGTGAGGTCAGCCTCCCTGAGCAGCTCCATGCATACTTCATCGTTCACCTTCTCAGCGGGTTTATTTCTGCACTCCACAGTTCAAAAAGAGGTAGTACTACTTACGATACTTGATATCATTCTTCAGCAGTCAGTGACGATAGTGATGACTTCATACTTCTTTTTATTATTATGTCTATATATGTGGCTAAATAAAAGGGAAACTATATTCCTCCCTTAAATTCAAGCTAAGTAGGGCTGAACAATTATTTTTTGGACTGAAATCATCATCTCAGTCAATGTGATCCCATGACTGTCAAAGCTGCATTTTTTTTTTCAAGCGCTCTCATCTTATCCCCCAAACTCACCAATCAGAAGTGGCATGCTACTCATAGATAGGTCACGCAAAAAAAAATATAATAATAGTCTGCTCCAAGCTATTGAAAAAAGTATTGCGTCCGCATTACACAGTCACCCATCCAACTGCTCTTCTGGCTCCTCACTAATGTGAGGCACTAAGCTAAATTGTTCTGCACAATGTTTATGACACAGCTGCGCGCGGCGCAGAGCCAGGTGGCAAACAAGCTACACTTCTAACAAGTTGCGCAATCACTCACAGCAAACAAGGAGTCGATAAGCATGCAACAATGAGCAACAAGAGAGAACATGAGAAGATGGAGTTAATGCTAATTGCTAATGTGAAACAGGAAAAGACCAGAACAAGAGCTTAGGTGTACAGTACACTTTTTACAGAGGTCCGGGTAGAACAGCAATAAGTGGAGAGCAGCAAGTTATTACCAGCAAATTAGCAAAACAATTAATAAGTATCCAGAGATGAAGTAACAGAATTGATACAAGGAGCACGCTTGAAAGACGGAAAACAATCAGTTCTGGATGATGTAGATCATGGGGAGGAGCTTGAGGTCAAAAATGTTTAAAATATTTCTAATATCAACAATCGTTTTATTTATTTGCACCACAAAGTTGCCAACTGTGCTATATTTTTAGATCTACACAATAATAAGTATCTACACAATAATAATAGGTTTTATATCAATTTAGCTTGGCTAAACTTTTGATGGCGGCGCGGGCACCCACAGTGGCTCCTCCCTCTTGTTGTGAGGGAAGAAATTTCATCTGTGCTGTATGCACATTTGACAATAAAGTTGTACTTGATACTTGATACTTGATAAAGGACTACGGGCCCTCTTTTTATATCCAGCGCAAGTCGAGCGCAAAATGCAGTCTCAGGGCCTTGTCAAACTACACAACACGCCCGTGACCCGTGTGAGGATAAGCAAATTAGGAAATGGACGGACGGACGGATGGATGGATATATATAGATACGGGTAAGTATTCTCTAGTAAGGAGTCATATTTGCGTTGTCCAATCTTTCCGTATAACAGAATTGTCTTATGTGGGAAACAATACATGTCCTTGATGAACATGCAAGTATGTTAACAAAATACATGTGTAACAACATAAGCAATAAAATGCAAAAATATATGGTCCAAAAACTGTTTATAACACAAAAACTGCAGCATACAGTACAGGTATAAAATACAGCATAACAAGACGCGTCACGAAATTAGGACTACTTGCTACAAAATGAGACGAGTAACAGACCTGGTAGCTTTTCTTTCCACTCACTCAGTGTCTCTAATTTTACCTCCACTCGATCACCACACAAGACAAGGTTGCTCAGCTGATGTCGTGCAACAAACCTTTGAAGCCATCCACGAGACGCTTCAAAGTCCTGAGTCGATGCCCAGAGTTAGCGCTATGGAACTCGCCTTCTCTCTAATTAGCGGTCCAGTTGACGGAAGGTTTTTAGCATGATAACAGGTAAAGCATTCCAGGGAACTTTCGTTTACTCGACTGTCCATCAAGCCACAAGCAATTTACTTTGAGCAGCTAATCGGATGCATTCCACTCTTTCTTCCACGGTCATTACCGTTCCTCTTCGATTGGATGCCACAATCTACAGCACGTAAATGTAAATGAATGAAATAGAAAATCGTTCGCGATTCCAGTAAAACTCATTCCAATAGAGTCACTTACATGTCGCCGTTTCGGATCCAATGAGAGTAAATACCGGAGCGGCCACAATTATTCTGTAATGTCGAGCGGGACTTGCTTGAGTTTGCGCGACTGCGGGCTTCCGCATGGCTTCCGGGTTCTGGGTACCGGACCTTCCATTGTTATGAATCAATCGTTAATGTAATATTGTCGTCAAAATTTTAATGATTAGGTTTTTATTCCGGGTGAGGGAATTTTCATTTGACAGAAGTCCGTAAGTGGGAATACCGTACTTACTGTATTAGCATTTTACACAACATCCCAACTACTGTAGTTAGATTTCGTATAATACCCATCCATCCATTTTCTGATCCACTTTACCCTCACAAGGGTTGCGGGGGGTGTTGGAGCCTATCCCAGCTGTGTCTTCGGGCAGTCGTCGGGGGACATCCTGAACCGGTTGCCAGCCAATAGCAGGGCACACAGAGACGAACAACCATCCGCGCTCACACTCACACCTAGGGACAATTTAGAGTGTTCAATCAGCCTACCATGTATGTTTTTGGAATGCGGGAGGAAACCAGAGGACCCGGAGAAAAGCCAGGCAGGCACGGGGGAGAACATGCAAACTCCACACAGGAAGGCCGGAGCAGGGATCAAACCCACGACCTCTGCACTATAAGGTCGATGTGCAAACCACTGGACCACCGGGTCACCCTGTATAATATTAATAGTTAATAAGTCTACAGTTCATCTTCCTGAACTGGACCTTGGACCCCGTTAAAACGTGAATGATGTAGGTTAGATTCACCTCTCTTCTATACAGAGAAGAGTGACTCGAAGAGGCTCCTTGCAGGACTCGATGGCTTTCGTCACTCTGTTCTGTAGTGCAATAAGCTGATCTGTCTCCAAAATATTTTCCTCCAACTTCAGCTCCAGCTCCTTCTTCACAAAGTGAATGTCCTGGACGCGTTGATCTGTACAACACCAAGCAGCGCCTCATAAACGAAGCTGAACAGTCTTTCCATGTTACTCCTGTTACTGCGAACTGCTTACCCAGCCTCTCGCTGTCATCATCCTCCAGGCGCTTGCAAGATTTGCTGCAATCCTCGATCAATCTCGTGCATTCTCCTCGGAAGAGCTTGGAGTGGTTCCGTATGACATTAATACTCTCCAGAGTTGATCCACCGATCAGATGGATATTCTTTCCCCGAGTAGACATCCTTCAACACGGGTAGTGGGTCACTAATCATATCAACAACAAAAAAAGAATGTGGCCAGCAGTTATTCAGTATCCTATTGGAAATCCTGCCTGAATGAAGTGAGCAATTGATTATTTGTTGTAATATAGCACATATTCACGATAGTTTTGAAAAAGTTGGATGGTATTGAATCAAGACACCTCGTTGATGGTTTCAGCTAACAATCGCATCTGCATTGGGAGTGAGTGACTTAAATCAGAATGTCTTCTGGGAATGTATTGACATTTTCAGTTTCAGATACCTGTGTTACGGTGGAAAATAGAAATGTATAAAATCCTGGCCAGAAATAAATGAATAAAAATCATGTTTAACAAAAGAGAATGTTCTAAATGTTAAAATAACCTCACTGCAAGTGACATTTGGATCCAGTGTTGGGTGAGCATGACGTCATCAATTATGATCGTTGTACAATTAGACACAGCCGACACAGACAACATATTAGGCTACTTCAGTGGTTCTTAATCTAGGTTAGGTAGTGAATCGATCTCAGGGGTTGCCTCTGCCATGGAGGGTAAGACACATTATAACTGACAACATGTCAGTTAGTTATAATTGACAACATGTCAATTAGTTATAACACAGCCTGCTTGGCTACCACTCGCTGCAGATGACCACATTACACTGCTTGTCCAATCAGTGCGTTGGGAAATTAAAAAAAAATAAAAAATGAAGTATACTTGAAATTGTATTTGCTTTTTTCTGTTTTTTGGGAAATTAAAAATAAATAAATAAATAAAGTATACTTGAAATTGTATTTGCTTTTTTCTGTTTTTAATAAATGTGGTTTTAATCTTTTTTTTTTTTTTTTTTTTAACAAACTCAATTTGTAAAAAATATATATTAGTATTTTTCACTCATGAATGGTTCAGTTAATGTGCATATTAACTGCAGGGTTCGGTACCTCTGAAGAAGAAGATGAACAACTACTGGGCTACTTGTTTACGCCAAACTTTGTAAAAACACAGTAATGATTCGCACCGGGAACACGCTTCGCATTTTGGCAAAGTATCTCATTTTTTCTATATCAGTCAGAAGCACTGTACTGAAATTCAGGGTGTCCCGTCATATAAATTCAACATAAAATAATTACGACGTGGAAAAAGTTCCGTTTTAGTTATTTGTGGATGAGAAGTGGACGTGTTTGTCTGGACATCTTGGAAAGAGAAGAGACGATCTGGACCAGGGATGTCCAAACTCGGTCTTCAAGGGCCACTGTTCTTCGTGTTTTAGATGTGTCCCTCCTACAACATCATTTTTTTGTCGTCTTCCTCGCTTGCTGAAGAGCTGATCATGCCGAATCAGGTGTCTTGCAGTTGAGACACATTTAAAACAGGCGGCACAACGATACTCGAGGACCGCAGCTGGACTTGCCTGGTAAAAACGTACTTTCTTAAGCAATATGTTTGCAAATACACCGGTCGTTAGTGTTTCTTCTAACACTACTTTGTAAACTATTAATAATGACGTAAATAAATAATGCGTCAATGACGATTTGACTTGAAACCATCTGAGGCTGGGCAAATATTTTCCGATTTACGACGTTACTTGAACGCAGCTTTTGTTTTCGGTTCAAAGACAAACTTCGCAATTTGTTTGGTCGATTTTTAAGACTAACTGTAAGTTTAAAAGGGGATAGTGCATAGAACCGAACATTATTTAGTCGTTAACCATACCTTGTCCCCTCTTGGCTGCAAGTTAAGAAACAACGTGTATGCCTTTTGCTGAAACCGCCGAAATGAATGAAGTTACTATGGCAACAGCTAACAAACGTCAAAGGCGGCCGCCTGACATTTGTAATCCGGTTTTTCAGTGATGCATGAACAACAAAACACTTGACATCCAAGAAGACAAAACACAAAACATGGTGACATTACTATTATTATTATTATTAACTGCATTTTCAAAGCTCGAAATGTTTGGTCTTTGTGTTACAACACATTTCATTATTTCATTGCAAGAGATACACAACAAATCACAAGTTTGGCTGCCCGTGTTCCAGCAAGCTTTAAACTGTATTCAGGTGAAATTATTTAAACTATGGAAAATGTCTTAATTACAGTATAAGAACATGGAAAACACGATTTTGTTCAAATCGTGTGATTTGAGTGACACATGAGCACACTACAAAAGTAAAACAAAAGTTTTGCCTTTTTGAACCAACTAATATTATTCTTAAAAAAAAAACATATGTGCAATATATTCATATCCTCTATAATCCAGCATCTGAATTAAGCTTTATAGTTTTAAATCAATAGTGAAATTGGCTTCTTGTGCTGGCAGAAAGATTAAGCACACAGCCTTTTTCTTTTGGGAGGGGGGGGGAGGGGCAAACGCTATAAAATAAATCTGCTTTCAAGTCTACCAGGAACATGTAAAGTTAAGTGAGTGACTTAAATAAACTCTTCCAGCAACAGCTCATTCACAGCAAGGTGTTTCAACGTTAACCATTTCAAACAATTCAAACGAGATAAAAACAATGAACAAATGCACTGATCCATTTTACAGATTACAGCTTTGTCAGAGCATTCGACAATACAATACAGTAGACAATGAATTCCTATTAAGTTAATACTACGTGAACGCCAGGAGCACGATAAAGAGACTTACTATGCAGGTGAATGTGTAGTCATTAGACAAGACACGCCGGCATTCTATCAGCTTTACACTAAAAACACAAATTACTATATGGTCGTAGACTAGCGAAAGTACCAACCTGTTTCCACTGTGGAAGCAAGGAAAACCTGCACAAGAGCTTCAAATTTGCCCTCAACGCAAGTGACTCACTGAACTGCCCTGAAAAAGCAGTGTTTAAAACTTTAACATCTGATGTAGTCTTTTGCACCCTTCATGACCCAAACACAGTGACATCAAGGCATGGCATCATCAACAATTGATGATGCCATCTTATACACAGTGATGTACACAAATCGCTGCTGCTGTTGCTGGGAGTAATCTCAGAGCTGGAGCGGTGGAGCAATGTAACAGTATGAGGAAGAAGCAATGAAAAAGCTTAGTCGACAAAATAGATTAAAAGCTTTGTTGGGATGTGGTAAACCAGACCAAAATATGATTTGTCAGTCATGAATGTTTTCAGCTGCGACGATTTGATCCAGAATATTGATCTTCTCGTGCAGTAAGCCCTCCTCGATGGCCACTTTGGACTCATGGACCTGCGAGAGAGAGGCACTTGTTATAACGTGAGCCCTGCCAGACACCAAGCAATGCAGCCATACGTGACTGAACTGCACAATGGCAAACAAATTCAAGTCCGAATACGATCCGGGTACTCATACATGGGAAATAATGTTCTGAGCTGAAGTGCCACATACCAAATTCTTGAAACCAGACCAATGCAAAGTTCTGAAGCGTAACAGTGTGAATACTGGACTTCAATTTAATCTCACTTGAAACATAAAGCATAAAGTGGACATTTATGGTGATTGTAATACTTCTGGGCGCCCCGGTGGTCCAGTGGTTCCCTGTGTGGAGTTTGCATGTTCTCCCCGGGCCTGAGTGGGTTTTCTCCGGGTACACCGGTTTCCTCCCACATTCCCAAAAACATGCATGGGAGGCTGATTGAACACTCTAAATTGTCCCTAGGTGTGAGTGTGAGCGCGAATGGTTGTTTGTCTCTGTGTGCCCTCCGATAGGTTTGCAACCAGTTCAGGGTGTCCCCCGCCTAAGACAGCTGGGATAGGCTGCAGCACCCCCGCATCCCTTGTGAGGATAAAGCGGAACAGAAAATGGATGGATGGATAATCTTTGTTCTCCTAACTGTGCCAGCAATGGTAGTGACAGGCACAACAATTAAATATTCTTCTCGATGGCAGAAAAACAATTAACCATATGTATTTAAACATTCCAGTTCTTAAAAGAGATCAATAGCATCCATCCACTTTCTAATCGGCTTGGCCTCACGAGGGTCGCGGGCCCATCTTGGTGGTCTTCAGGCAGTAGGCGGGGGTATGTCCTGAACTGGTTGCCAGCCAATCGCAGGACAAATAGAGACAAACAACCGTCCGCGCTCACACTTATACCAAGGGACAATTTCGAGCGTTCCATTAACCTGCCATGCATTATTTTTGGAATGTGGAAGGAAACCAGAGTACGCCCGAAATCAATAGCATTGTCTTTCAATTCTAAATTAAAATGACAGAAATGATGCAGGCCCAGATATGTTTCAGGACAAGAACATCCTTATTGCAGTATACTGGTATATACAGTACTTTGTAACAATGTTTCGGTTGGCCATGGCCAATTCTTCTCATGCAAGATATGTGCCTTGGCTCATTAAATGTTGGAAAACGGTGTACCCAAGGCAGGAGAGGATATTCTCTAAAAAGTAGAAACGCATGAAAGAGTGACATAATAGGCATGTGGGTCGCACAGCACTCACCCTGAATGGTTCACTGATTCCAATAATGCACTGCAGAGTATGACAGTAGTAACCCAGCAGACACTCTCCTCCTCGCACTGGGATCTCCTCTTTACTCACATACACCTAAAAAAACAACCCCCCAAGAATGACCACATGCATATATTTGTATCATAATGGCCAGTGAACTCCATTTACTGGTATTGACTACCTTGATGGCATCTTCATCGATGAACACTTCGTCATCTTTGACCCAAGTGTATGTGATGTAGTCTGACACGCTAGTAAACCCAACCTGCATTTCAGGACGCAAAGTCAAGTCTGTGACTTTGTAGTTCAAGTGAAGTGAAAGGGGGAACAATCGTTTGCAAAACTCACCTTATACAATCCAATCCAGTCCCATGTACTGGAAGGGAATGGCTGCAACGGGCTATAAAGCAGCATGGCGTCAATGTCCGCGCTCCATTCACCTTCAGCCTGCAGGTGCACCAGTGGAGTCGCGTACATCTTCTTCAGCTAAAGGAACACAGTGAACAGGCGATACTTAGTGGCATGCTTTAAGCCAAAGTAACATTAACAACGGGTGACAGCATCACGGCTTGTTTCAGCATGTATTGGTAACCTCTTTCTAGTGAGAAGGCCAACTACACTAATTCAAGTTCAATTCAACTTTATTGTCAAATGTGCTCTCTATGTGCAACATACAGCACAGATGAAATTTCTTTCCTCCCAACCACAGCTGCAGGTGCCCGCGCCGCCATTAACATCAACCACAACCCCCACCCCAAACCTTATGTAACTCTTGTTGAGGAATTTAGCCTTACTATGAGTACTATTGGTACCAGTATCTCACCTGAACATCTGTTTCAACTCTTAAAACAAAGGATGTCGTGTGAAGTTTGTATCTTCTTTTCCCTTGAGTGATTAACACAGCGCCCTAGTGTGGTCTTTTGCGTCCCCCACCTTGGGAGACTCCCTGGAGGCTGTCACGTTCCCCTGAGGAGGAACTCTTACCTCAAGATTTATGCAAAGCAGGAGAGGTCTGGACTTTTCAGTCCTGGACTTCTCATGTCAAGATCGAATTGCCTCAACCTTCCTTTTACATAAGGGGCAGGACTGCCTGCCTCTCATTAACATAGTATCCCTATAAAAACGTGAGACTATATTTTTCTTTTGCTTCCGAACAAAATCTGTTGCAGTTGTGATAAACTGCAGAAAAGACGATGTGGTGTTGGGTCTTTATTCCACCTTCTAGATAAATAAAAGAACCTGTGTCCATGGAAGGCCATAAGGAAATGGACAGCTCCCCTCCACAATACTCTAAACTAGGAAGACTGCAAAGTCATCTGTATCTTGACCAATGAGTAAGTTTTGCACCATCTCCATTCTAATGTCAACAGTGGCAAAGGAGAACATGACCCTCGTTATGATTGATGACCCAGTGTGGCAAAGTGTGCCATTATTATGACTCTTTTGTCACAGGAAGGGGCTTGCAGATTTAGAACCCCAGTAGACCATAGTACAAAGCTTGGTTGGATCGGGAGTATTATGATCAAAATTTAATACATTAACTGGGTCACAACATTAGATCCACTTGGACGGTCCAGTAAGATCAAATACAACAGAGCTGTTAAAAAAAAAAATTTTAAATGTACTTTAAAAAGATAACAATGCTCAGTTTTGTATGGCACTCAGGTGGCCATTTATCCATATATGTAGAACCACTGGGCCCGACTTTCATGCAACTGTTATATTTCCAGTACCTGTCAAAACGATGACCGTTCCATCCCATTCAACAGCATGTCCAAAATCTTGGCAAGTGCTGTAGATTGTTGAAGGGCTAGTTGTATGCAAGTTATCATACATTTGCTTGTAATTAATCATTTGCAACGAAGAAATGCTTATGCTTACAAAAAAGATATGCTTGCAATGAAGAATGGCTTCTAATTTTGCACATGTGACAGTTAGGAGACAACCGTATTTTTGAGAATGTGGTCGGAAAGAGATAAGGTAATAAGACAAAATAAGAACTCAGTCGGACGTGGATGGAGCTGTCAACACCAGCTGCAACTTAAGATAGCTACTTGCTGTTTTGGTCATGATTGCACACATGGACGTAATTTTTCACTCACATACACACACAAAGTCAAACAAGTTCAGTGTGTTTCTAGCAGCTTAGCCCTCACTCCCTAGGTTGGAAACTCCCATGTGATAGGGTCTCCAATGCAAATAAAAAAAAAAAAAAAGGGGGAGGGGCCTGGGTGAGTAGAGAGAGACTGGCGAGCGACACAGCAGAAAATCGAAACTGTCTAGTTCTCTCCGTCCTCCTCATGAGATTGGTACCAGAATTAAGTGTCTTCTCTCCTTTTTTTGTGCTGTTATATAAATGTCTAATTGATTAACCTGACATTTCGATAGTAACTTTTTTACAGGACAAGAAAAGCTCTAGCCCGGGGGTCGGCAACCCGCGGCTCTTTCGCGCCGCCCGAGTGGCTCCCTGGAGCATTTTCAAAAATTTTTGAAAATGGAAAAAGATGGGGGAGGTAAATATATTTTTGTTTTAATATGGTTTCTGTAGGAGGACAAACATGACAATTCACTGAGGGTACTGGCAAAGAATAGGAATCTGGAGGGCCGAGAGAAGCATTTTTAAATGGTACAGGTTAGCTACGATAGTTAAGACGCTGCAAAAGTGCATCCCATGCCTCGATCATCTTAGGGGCCGTTATGGCTGTTGCTCATTATGGCATGCCAAAGTCAAACAAGTTCAGTGTGTTTCTAGCAGCTTAGCCCTCACTCCCTAGGTTGGAAACTCCCATGTGATAGGGTCTCCAATGCAAATAAAAAGGGTTGGCTGGGTAAGTATGGAGACACTGGCAAGCGACGCAGCAGAAAATCGAAAATGTCTAGTTCTCTCCGTCCTCCTCGCAAGACTGGTACCAGAATTAAGTGTCTTCTCTTCTTTTTTGTGCGGGTATATAAATGTCTAATTGATTAACCTGACTTAAAAATTACAGGACAAGAAAAGCTCTAGCCCGGGGGTCGGCAACCCGCGGCTCTTTCACGCCGCCCAAGTGGCTCCCTGGAGCATTTTCAAAAATTTCTGAAAATGGAAAAAGATGGGGGAGGTAAATATATTTTTGTTTTAATATGGTTTCTGTAGGAGGACAAACATGACAATTCACTGAGGGTACTGGCAAAGAATAGGAATCTGGAGGGCCACTGGAGTAACAACAACACAAACGCACATTGAACATGCGGAACATGGCTGTAGTTTGCAGTGTGTAGTCTGAAAAAGCTGATTCCGACAAACATGACAATTCACTGAGGGTACTAGCAAAGAATAGGAATCTGGAGGGCCGAGAGAAGCATTTTTAAATGGTACAGGTTAGCTACGATAGTTAAGACGCTGCAAAAGTGCATCCCATGCCTCGACGTCAGCTACGATAGTTAAGACGCTGCAAAAGTGCATCCCATGCCTCGATCATCTTAGGGGCCGTTATGGCTGTTGCTCATTATGGCATGCGAGTGTAAGTAGGTGCATTTGCGCGTGTGTGCGGCAACGGGTCAATCGCTGGAGGTTGATTGATCGAAAGGTAGATCTTCCGTCAAAAAAGTTTGGGCACTCCTGCTCTACAGGATGAACCTCAAGGGGAAAAAACATTTAATCATGAAGGCTCATTGTGTAGTTGGAGCCAACTTAGTCATGTTGATAGCAGGCTAATATCGCAAATATAGAAACATACAGCATGTGTTGCCTTCATAATCAAGGTTACATATGGCTTTTAATTTTTTGCGGCCCCAGACATTTTTTCTTTTTTTGGGTACAATATGGCTCTTTCAACATTTTGGGTTGCCAACCCTTGTACTGGAGTAACAACAACCCAAACGCACATTCAACATGCGGAACATGGATGTAGTTTGCAGTGTGTAGTCTGAAAAAGCTGATTCACGGCCGTTATGGCTGTTGCTCATTATGGCATGCAAGTGTAAGTAGGTGCATTTGCGCGCGTGTGCGGCAACGGGTCGATCGCTGGAGGTTGATTGATCGAAAGGTAGATCTTCCGTCAAAAAAGTTTGGGCACCCCTGCTCTACAGGATGAACCTCAAGGGGAAAAAACATTGAATCATGAAGGCTCATTGTGTATTTGGAGCCAACTTAGTCATGTTGATAGCAGGCTAATATCGCTAATATAGAAACATACACAATGGGTTTAATTTTTTGCGGCCCCAGACATTTTTTCTTTTTTTGGGTACAATATGGCTCTTTCAACATTTTGGGTTGCCAACCCTTGTACTGGAGTAACAACAACCCAAACGCACATTGAACATGCGGAACATGGCTGTAGTTTGCAGTGTGTAGTCTGAAAAAGCTGATTCAACTCCTGCATTGAATCTCATTAGATGCTCCACCCAATTTTACGACTTCTGAGAATACGACCTAACGGCTAACAAAACCACGGTATAGTATCTCCCGCCATGTGCGGTTAAAGTTACATGGATTGACAGCATTTAAGTAAGTTACCTTAAGTGTAAAAATACCGGTGACAGGTTTGTGGTCACTTGTGCTGTAATCCATGTTGCTAGTGTACAAGTCCTGTCTGATCTCCAAAGGGTATTCTTCAGCTTCTTCTGGCGGTTTGACATTGTGTGCATCTGGTCCGTCACCGTGTTTGTCTTGCTCGTCGGCGTGCGGGGCTTTGGGTTGCAGGCGACTTTCAATGTGATCATAAGACTCAGAACAGAATCATGTTAATGCTGTCAAGGAAGAAAAGTCCTGGAGCTCATTCACACATTAGACGCAAAAGAGGGTTTATTTTGGTGTGAAATCTGGTCCTGTGAGTTGAACGCACTCTGGTGTGTGACTGGCAACAGATTATTTTACTAGAAGAACACGAAACTGTTCTGCCTGTCACTCAACATTGCTGGCATGCTGTAGATGATTGGTACATTATTTCCATCCATTTTCCAATCCACTTTATCCTTACAAGGGTCACGGGGGGTGGTGGAGCCTTTCGCAGCTGTCTTTGAGCAGTAGGCGGGGGAGACCCTGAACCGGTTGCCAGCCAATCACAGGGCACACAGAGACGACCAACCATCCACGCTCAGACTCACACGTAGGGACAATTTAGAGTGTTCAATTAACCTGCCATAGATGTTTTTGGAATGTGGGAGGAAACCGGAATACCCGGAGAAAACCCACGCAGGCCCGGGGAGAACGTGCAAACTATACAGGAAGGCTGGAGCCGGGATCGAACCCACAACCTCTGCACTGCGAGGTCGACGTGCTAACCACTGGACCACCGGGCCCCCTTGGTACATTATTTGTCGTATAAAAAGGAGGATTTCATTGCTTTAAAACCATTGCATTGTTCCCTCAAAGCACTAAACTCTGACATGGCCTCAATCTAGTCAAAGTGGAAAATTATGATCTCTACGAATGACAGCGTTATTAAAACGGTCTCGGCTCACGTAGACCTGGGAAGTTCACACCCGAAGATACTCTCATTTACCAGTACATACTTGACCGGCAAGCTTGAGGACTAATACGTCACCACTGCTCACCGTAAAAGTATACTTTGCTGGAGAAGTTCATTATCTTGAGTGGCCCATATGCAACAGCCCTGTGATCCAACACTGATGCTTGATGAGACATACTCTGGATTTTTTTTCGAGATGAGCATCTCAGAAAACAACTGATTTGCTCAAAGCACAAAAATTTGTAAGACCTACCGAACTGTGGTCCATTATTATCCAGAGAAAATGAAGGAAAGGACAGCTTTACTTTGTTTTTCTACTTTCTTCCCTTCAAAAAAATTGCTGCTGTAAATTATGAATTTCTCCATTGCGAGACAAAGTTTTACTTTTCTTATCTGAAAAAGTCTGATTACATTAGCGATATGAACCTCAGGAACATTCAACATGACTTTCCAGTGTTCCCCCGCTATATCGCGGCTTTATAAGCCATCGTTTTAACAGGAGTTTACTGTATATGGTCACGTTCAAATTGATAGTTGCGCCTCTAGTGTAGTGCCGCATTGTGCCGCATCGTGCCGGGCAATGCGGAGGAATTACGAGTAAGAAGATGATGATGCTGCCCGAGCAATGTTAAGGGTGATGTTAAGGCACTATTCATGTAAAGTGGAATCTCGCAGGTGTAGCAGGACCCCAAGATTTAGCCCCAAGCTCCCACATCAACAAGCTGCTGCGTCATGTTGACAGGAGGTTGATAATGATAGTAGCACCCAATGGAGTTTTGAGGTTAAACAGTTCGGCATTGCATATATTGTGTGCCTCTGTCTTTCGTAATGGATTCATATACTTCATATGCTTCATATGTGTCTCCACAACAATGTTTGCCTTCATTCACATTGGCAAAAATAACAATTGGAGGGGATGTCAACGTGTGGTATTTTCACATAAAAACCACAAACTCCAAAGGGCATATTTCATGAAAACAACCAGCTTTTGACTTTCCACACCTTTCGCTCAAGATAAAAGTTATCCAAATGAAGAGAGTTAGTTCGATTTCCTTTTTTTAATCTGCGTGTTAGTTCGGGGTGAGATAAGTAAGATGTGTTACTCTCAAGACTAAATGATTTTATATTTGAGCTTTATAAAACTGTTGAATGGCATTTGCATCCACACCAAAGTAGAGTTGTGATATACTTTTGCCAGTGTGGACATAAACGAGTTACAAGTCTTACGTAAAGGCAAACCATGTCCTGTAGAGCCTGCGAAGGTGACAAGAGGAGCAGATCACATATACATTAGTATTGTAGGATCACAAATACAGGAAATATGCTGTGTTTTTTTTTTTTTTTAAAGTGACTCATTACAGGTGACTTATCTGCTACCTGCTGTCATACGTGTCGGTGTTGACGTCAAACTTGTACGTGGGCTGAAAGTCAAGGGGCCCTTCCTCAAACTCTTGCAGCAATTTCTCTTTTTCCTTCATCATGATCAGCTGAAAGCATCATCGTACAAAACATTACATGACGTTCCATACTAAACACAGATTTAGGCCCGGCTAACACAGTATCCGTGTTAGTCGGGCCTAAATCTGCAAGGGACATACTGTATGAATAAGCGGATTTATCCAACCTGGTCTTTGTTCCACAGCAAGCTGTAGTTTTGATTGCTGATGCATGTTCGAACAAAGTGTAATCCATGATCCTGGATTCGAAAGTTGAGATCTCCAAACCAGAAGACTAGCCTTGAAGACAGAGGGTAGCGAGATAAAAGAGGAGAAAATCTTGTAAAAACTGCTCGCGCCACAGTCTACACACAAGCAGAAATGCTAAAATGGCAAAAAACGGGACTTCCAGAAGAAAAAGTGCCACACAATTTAGAATTCAAGCATCTGGAAAAAAATATGCATTGGAAAGTCAGGCGCAAGTCGAGCAAAAAGCGCAGTCTAACCGTGCGCATGGGTGGAGTTCTCTTTGTTTTGATATTTTGTTTGACTTTGTGTGGCTAGAATTAGGTGTAACGTGGAGTTTGTGCGCCTGGGATGGAACTTAATGTTTTCCCAGCCAACCCCCGTTTCATCCCGAATTTGCATCCAAATCAGGGCGGCACAGAGCACACGCCCAAGTGCGCCATGTTTCATATGCGGAAAGAGGAATTATCCTCGCTGGAGTTTGTGCATGACAATGGCACATAAACTGTAATATCTCACGTTTCGGATGCAGTCGGCTGTGTGTGTGAGGTGGGCAATTGGTGACCCGCCTTACATCTCCTGATCATGCACCCATATGTTGTTTTTTTTAACTCCCTCTTTAAAACATTTTCTGTGCAATAATTACAATTTTAATAGGTACAGTTTGAAAAAAAAAATTCGAAACAGCATTTCGAGTCTGATGGTTTACAGCAGGGGTGTCAAACTCATTTCAGCCGTGGGCCAATTTGGAGTTGCGTTGTCCCTCAGAGGGCCGTGATGACAGTGAAACCACAAAATTATTACTTGTATACAACAATTCATAGATGACTAGTTTTTAAATCAGTCAAGGCACTTCTTATAGTTTGTCCAATTATTGTTCGAGTGAGTGTCAACGGTAACAAAATTATCGTAAAATCTCAACGTTATTTATTACACATGACAATTGGACATTTTGGTCCAGATTTTAGCAAGTTGACGCACATGATTTGCTTTCGCGGGCCACATAAAATGACCTGGCGGGCCGGATCTGGCCCCCGGGCCTTGAGTTTGACACCTGTGGTTTACGACCTTTGGAGGTTCCACTGCATGCACTCACCTGTGATCAAGAATTTTCCCAGCCTTTTCGCAGTTGAAATTCTGTGAGTTCAGAATGTGCTCAAATTCGACCACTCGCTCATTGGCATGTTTCATATGTGCAACTAGGTGGCAATTGAGGAAACAGAGCATGTGACCATAAAGAGAAAGACGAATGGAGACACCACCTTTGTTACCCTGGGACACACAGAAGAAACACATTTCCTCACAAATGGTCAACTTCAAGCAAGCAACCAAGCAAACAATTACCGTATTTTCACGACCATAAGGCACACTTCAAAGTCTCAAATTCTCTCCAAAATGGACGGGGCGCCTAATAATGTGGGGTGCCTTGTGTATTCACCGAGTTGCCAAATCTGTGAATGTTGGTTGTTGTGTGACTTAAACGAGCGCGCCGCTTGACTGACTCATGTTGTGCCGACACGCTGCTTATATGGAGGAAAGGTGGATGTAACTGAAGACAGCATGCAGACGTTAAACGGGGAAGGGTGGGAGTGAAAGAGAATGCGAAAGGCACGCCCCCAGTAGGTGTATAGTGCCGACTATGCAAAAAAAAAAAAAAACATCCCGAAAATACACAGATCCAACAGTAAACATTTATACCATGCAGCAGGAGTCACCAACATGGTGATCCCTGTCTTTGAGGTTCCACTGTATGCCTTGGCATATTTTAAGTAATTATTTCATTTGGTTTATGATCCACAGTGTGATAGACCAACTCTGATAGTAGGTATGTTAAAAATAATGTAAACATGTAGTGGTTTAATATGGGTCGTTTTATTTTATTTATTTATCTGTGTCACTTCAAGATTATAACTTTTATTTTTTTTATTTGTAATTTTGGCATTTCTGTTTACAGTGCTGATAACTCTTTACCCAATATCCAAAGATGCCGGTGCGCGTGTATGTCGTCTGGATGTCTCGAATGAATGGGAGATGTTCCAGCTTGGAGAAGAGTAGCAACAACAGACCTTGCATTCTGATAGAGGACACCTAAAATGCATAGAAACATACATGTCATATGTAGGGCAGTCGGTGTAGAACAGAGGTCCATAGAAACTATTAGTACAGCCTTTTGTGTACCTTCACGTATTGCCTTGGTGCTAAGGCGGTCATAAGCACAGAACTCCAAGGGTCATCCAATACAACATCTGACATGAATCTCAGGGGCCCGGAGTACACCTCCTGCAGGCTTACGTCAACATGAATCATTGTGCCCATCCTCACACTTAATCAAAATCATCTTTAATGGCCAAGTATAAAGAGCATTGAGAACAAATAACATGAGTAGTGAGAGTCGTTAAGCAATGTAACGATAGCGTGAGCGCAGTACAGTGTTCCCTCACTTATCGCAGTTAATGGGGACCGGGCCCCTGCCGTGATAAGTGAAAAACTGCCAAGGAGGGTTGGCTGCCCCGCTAGGAATTTTTGTGTAAGTGTATGTGGGTAACAGCATGTTTAAAATATGTCAACAGTATTTATACGTTACAAAGACTACAGCAGTACATGTATTTACATAAAATTTTAACTATAAAACCTTATACAGAAATTAACATTCATCAGCATTGTCTTCTGAGTGAGGTGAAGAGACTTGTGTTAGTGATGTCGAAGGTGCGCTCTGACAGTGTAGCCGCCGTTAGCTTCCAGTTAGCTCCTGGCCAGCTATCCCCGCACAGCCGAAGTGTTTACAATAAGACAATTTTTTTCTCTCTCTCTCTCTCTCTCTCTCTCTCTCTCTCTCTCTCTCTCTCTCTCTCTCTCTCTCTCTCTCTCTCTCTCTCTCTCTCTCTCTCTCTCTCTCTCTCTCTCTCTCTCTCTCTCTCTCTCTCTCTCTCTCTCTCTCTCTCACACTCACACTCACACTCACACACTCACACACACACACACACACACACACACACTCACACACACTCACACACACTCACTCACACTCACACTCACACTCACACTCACACTCACATACAACAGCGTGGCGAGACACTGATCAGAGTCAACAGGGAAGGAACTGGGCAGGGCTGCAAAGATGTGCAGCCAATCAGCTCACAGGATAAATCCACTCGTGCTGTTATTGGTCAACGTAGCGCCAGGAACCAATCATGCGTACAGTCATGTGCAAAACCTCAAAGTCATTCGGCATTTTTTCTGAATCCCATACTTTGGAAAAAAAACGCAATGTAGGGAAGCCGCGATAAATGAAGCGATATATAGGGAGGGATCACTGTAGTGCCAAACAATGACAGCAGCACAAATGATGCGTAAAGTTGGCTAGCAAAATAAATTGAGCAATAGTGCTGTATTTAAGATACAATGACTGTGACGCAGATGATGCAGAGATTTATCGACATAATTTAAAGTGGCCAGTACTACTTAGTGTAGAAACTGATACAATCAATTTCCATTCACGACGCCATCTTACCCAATGACGTAGAGGTCTGCATCCTCTGGAGAATCTAAACGGAGAAGTGAGCTCATGTCATCTAGGGGATCAGCTGTGGCTACATTCCATGTCACTATGTGGAGCCTGGGGACAACAGTGAGGAAAAAAAGAAAAAAAATGACATCCGGATTACTTAAAAGGAAGCGTGTCGATTCAAGCGTGGCAGTGAAAGAAATGAATTCAGTGAACAAACCCATAAAATGAAGACTTTAGCAGCTTACTCCAGCCACATACTCACCAGTAAATGCGAACCAGTCATGCTTTTCCATACAAATAACTGAGTTACCTTAACTCATGGATTTAATAAGGTTGTGAGTCGTAATGCGATTAAATGTATGCATATGGCATATATCAAATCCATATTCCCTAATGAAGTAAATTGAAATGCTATTCAGCTATTCCAGCCACCCCAAAAAAAAATTTTGTGATGTGTGATCATTTTTTTTAAAAGAGCACTATATTGCATGGAAAAAAAAAACCCAATGAATAAAATAAATGAGAAAGTAGAAAAATAAACCGCATTTATAAATTGTCATTAATATACACCGAGTAGTGTTTGTGTAATGGTAATGTGCTTTTGAAGGGACGCACAAGCTGCAATGGTTTGAGCTGCTGCTAAATCACTTCAGTTTTGTATTTATGTGTTTGATATTCCCAGCTCACACTTGATGCTTGGAGGAGGTAAGAATTTAGAAGCCACACACAAAACGACATTAATATTGTCTTGTGGAAATGCTGACAAAAAATAAACAATAAAAAAACATGCGTATGTGGCAAGTTTTTTTTTTTGTTTCGTGAAGGAATGTGCAAATATTTCATGACCAAAACAACAAAGGTGGAATAAAAAGCTGTTATTGCAATTATTCAATTGTCACCCGAATGAGAGCGACACCAATTCTCTAGGCAGCAAAGTTTTGTTTAACTTTATCGGTTCTGCAAGCATACTTTAAAACAAATGTTACTACTGAGGATGGATCTGCAATTGCGCATTTGGATAAGATCTGCAAGGACAACCAGTGACTGTGCTTCACCAACTGGTGGTATGTCATGCATATCCCAGCCTTGCAGGTCGTTTTACCAGGAAACTTTTATCAGAAAAAAAAATATTCACATTTTTATTTGATTTTTGTCGTGCAACAATACTTTTTGGTTACTATTGTGCAATTCTTGTCGTGAAGTCATTGGATGAACATTCCTGTTGTAAAGGGCGCATGTTATGTCAAATTGACATTTAATTTCTTGTACACAAAAGGTTGGGTCGCTGAAGTGTCTGCTCACCCATCATAATGTGAAATTTAACAAGGTAATGTGTTGCTTGTTTCTAAAAATGTGACCATGCACAAGCAGCTTTTCTACCCCGCACGTAACAGCTCTCGTTGTATTTTCAAGGCTCTGCTACCTGTCACCATGGCAATGGCAAGCCAGACTTATCATTGACCCAGAAATGGAAGGGAGAAACATAACCAGTCCCTCAAAAACGGCCTATTTTCAGTCAGTCTAGAATTTGGGTGTGTAAAGTCGGATGTAATTATTGATCCTTGGGAGTATTTTGACCAAAAGAAGCTACAGTTCTGGACCTGGGAACTGTTTCAAATTGTGGGGAAAAGTGCATAACAAGTCTCCTAGAAAACATGATGATATATAATTTCTTCAGATGCAGTAAAACATTCACTGGTTGTTGCTACATCAAAGAGTAAGAAAGGCATTCCGCACGGTTGTCACCGTTTTCCCACAACTTTGAATTTTTGGAGTAATCGTGCGCACTTGATGCTACTGTGCAGAATTCCCATCCAAATGACACCGTGACATCCCTGAGATTGTAACAGTAGTTGATTACTTAGTAGCTCAGTGATAATATTGGTGTTGATGTAAGCAGTGTCAGCTGTTTTCTTGGAAGCGTGCCACAAGAACAAGTCGTGAAAGCAAGCATTGTATTTTGTATTTATCAACAACATTCAGACGTTTTAGTGCCTTCTGTGGAGTCAAATAGGCAACAAAGGGCCACTGAGTAATGAGGGAACTGGTTCTTAAACCCTCCATTGTTTGCCCATTTAATCTCATTTATGAATCCTGAAGATTTAGAAGTGTTTGTAAACTGAATTAACATTTAAAGTTCAAGTCCCTCTGCAAACTGTTGAGCTCAGAGCCGATCTTTTCTCAGACATGACAGCATGACTGCCATTTCTGCAAATCCGTTTTAGGTTAGATAAAATCGAGCAACCTAATCTAGAAACAGATTTGGAGAGTCTTGTGGAAAATTGTGTGATGTTTATTATTTTCCTACAATCTTTTTTTTTTAATGAGAAACCTCTGCAAAACACGTTAAATGTGTGATTCGACACCAGTCCACGAATCAGTACAGTACTCTCTTTCAGCTACGTCAAATAAATAGCGTCTGTTCATCTGTTGGCGTTAAAACCATTGGAGAAATATTATTTCTGGCACAAAGGAAAAGATGACATTTTGTTTACCTAAATTTGTCTCCTTCGTAGTCTCCCCTCGGCATACCCCGATTCCGCTCCATCGATGCCATATCTGAAAGTTACGTTTTGAAGCTCAGCAGTACAACTGAAAAACACACAAGCAGCACCACATTCTTTAATAGGTACAATGCATAATTATACAATAGGCAATATATCATTTACGGACAGCGAGACAACTGACGAATACGATTGTAATGAACTAATGCTGAACATGTAAACAGAGCTTTCGGAACCATCCAGAGTTGACTATGAAGAGAAAACACAGAGCATGCTACATGGATCAGACGGTCTAATCGCATTTCAGTTCACGATCAAAAGCAATGAGAGCAAGCTTAGGAAGATCATTCGAGTCAATTAAACGTTCGATGGTGACAAGAAATTCGTGCATAAATGAATGTTTTCTAATACCCGACGCGGTCACGAAGCGCTTGTTTTCATAGTAAGCCATCAAGTAGATATCTACAGGACTTTTACTCGTATTGAGTAGGACCTCCCCTATTGCGGAAGAAGCTTTCTCGCCTTCAAATTAAAAGCGTTTGAGAGGCGAAACTTCACTGGCCACCGGGTTTGGATTTACGCTGCATGGTCAAGAAGGAGCTGGAGCCTGGAGAGGACCGAACTTCGCACCAAGTTGCTTGTGACCCCCCCCCCCCCCCCAACCACCACCACCAACAACAACAACAACACCACATGAGGCACGCGTTTTTAAAAATAAACCAGTATTTTTATTGTTATTATATTTTAATGTCTCATAGGAGTATTGTTGGTGTTATTTAATATTAATGTTGCATTATTTAAAAGTGAGACATTAAAATTATAACGGTCAATGGTAAGGGGTCGACCAATTATATCTGAAACCGCACAGTACGGCAACTGAGGAGGGACAGTTTTACAAGGAGTCGGCACGTCAAACGCCTTCCTTGCACGTTTCATAGAGAAAAGAACCACGGGAGTACATTTTGTCATCGAAAAAGATGCTTTTCCTTTTCTTAGTGTTTTTCTCTGGTGCAGACACTACCTTAAGCAGGGTTGCCTTTTCCATTCGGAACCAGATTTGAACAGGTATATGTAGACACATACTGTGTATAAATGGAAAAAACCTCTTCGTCCAAAGTCAGGGGTGCAACCCACTGAGAAGTTTAGACAGCTGCAACACCTGATCATGAGGAACATTTAAGGCTGGGGTCCCCAACTTTTTTGGCCCAAACCTCTCAAGGGACAAACAGCCCGCGATTGACTCGTTACCGCACGTGCACGCATACAAACGCGCGCGCGCGCGCACACACACACACCATATTTACTAAAGTAGAAGCTGATTTTTTTCCCCGTTGGTCAGATTAACTTCTATAATAGGATTATGGGTACATTGTTTTGGGATCGTATGTACAGCTAAATTTTCCAATGCTAAAATAACACCAATGTGTTTAATGCTGACTTAATGAAACAAGTCAACAAAAATCACGGTGAAAAAAAATTTAGATGAAAATACAGTATACTCGAATGGAGTAACTACAGTATTCAGAAAATAAGACATTGTTGACCTTTCAGATGTCAACTTTGTTTAACCCCCGGTTGGTGTCAAGTGCGTAAAACACCACAAAAACAGACTGGATCTTTAATAGAACTGTATTCCACAGAAAAGGCAAACAAAAGTACACCTCTTGACTCCATTAAAATAACTGCTTTTGCTCCCTAACTTTGCATTATAATAACATAATTTGCATCTAACATTAGTTAAAATGAATAAAAGATAATGCAATTAAAATAAAACTCAAAATTGAGCCATTTTTGAATCCCTGTCAGGTTCTCTGTCATACTAAACTAACGAAGACCGAGAAAAAAAGCAAATGCAACAAAAAACATTCAATGCTCCAAAAACATGACCTCCCCCCAACACACACACACACACACACACACACACACATATTGTTCAAAACGAATAAATTGTGTGAGGTCGAAGTGAAAAGCAGCAATGAGCAACATTTGTACAACTAAACCAAAGTGTTTACATTTAACAGCTTTTGGGGAAAATATTTGCTCCATTTTTAGTCTTTTGGTGACTCCACACAGGATGACTTGCATAAAAGCGTTGTTTTCAATGCTTGATGACTAATCACTTGTGACATATAAATCTATACAATTTTTTTTTTTTTTTTTTTTTTTTTTAGGAGCACACCTTGCAACCACAGGGTCAGAATCACACCCTAACATCTGAATCAGTGGCAGTCCGCCCAGATTTCGGAGGTCGTGAATTTGATTCCGGGCTCTGTCTTTCTTGCGTGGAGTTTGATATGTTCTCTCCGTGGTCGTGTCTGCGTGGGTTTTCTCCGGGTGCTCCTACATTCCAGAAACATGATAAGCTGTTCTGAAAACGGATGGGTGGATGGATGGATTGATGCTTGGTTAATTAAAGGCTCTAAATTGCTTGGATAGGCTCCACCACGCCCACCACCCAAGTGAGGATAAGTGGTTCAGAAAATGAACAATGTAATAGTTTCATCTGCTCTGTAAAAAAAGACCGTGCTAAATACTACTGACAGTGACAAATGACCACAAAAATAGAATTTTTGAAATTGTACACCGTGCGCATTCTAAAAAAGTGGAATTTGAAGGGGTAAAAAATAAAAATGGATATTTTACACTAATGACAAGAACTGATGTTACAAAAAAAAAACCTTGCATAGTAAAATCTGCTGGAAACAGTAAAAATAAAATAAACAACGGAGTGTCTGTACATGGCCAAAAATGTCCTCTCGCTAGCTGCTCTAAGTGTAGTTAAATTGAACACGGCCCGAAGGCTGATATTTTGATGACTATTTGTGCATTACGGTTGACATCCATGTTGTCACTGTCTGCTGGTGATGCTTGTGAAGTTATTTCCTTGCAACATGGGCTCATGCGCATGCAGGCTGTCACAAGTGTTTTTGTGAATGTAAACGCCGCCATACCCGAGATGTGTTCCTTGAAATGTCCAAGTAAATCGATTCAAAGGTTCCATCACCGACAGGAAACGTCGAGTAAACCTAATCCACAAATGATTATAAACGCCTATCCTGTGGTCATTTCCCGACAAGTATTGGTTCATGACAAGTGTACATTTGAGATACATTGGTTGACACTCAAATGGATGACATTAAGTCCAATACCATTTCATCCAACAGAGACAAGAATAGGTTCCCAAATCTTTGCAAACTTGAGTGATTATGACATTAGCACTTACAAACAAAAAAAAAAAAAGAAAGAAAAGTTCGAGTGCACAAAACATCAATTAGCTCACCTAGCCATTACATCAGCATTTTCCTCCACCTCTGAATGATCCTTTGAAAATGGAAATAAATACAGTACTTAATATCAGGGAGTTTTAATAGAACATATAAGTTGTGGTTTTTCTTGTGGTTACTCAAATGATGACATCGAATCCTTCAAAAGATACTAAAAGGATCGTCTGTAAACCCCAAACAATAGGAACGGCCATAACAAGTCTCAAAAGCAACACGTTTCATTGTATTAAAGGAGAAAGCAACAAAAAGTCAAACAACTTTGTCTTTTGGAGACCATACAACAATAAAATGGTAATGTATCAATCGAGTGCAATTCAGACATGACAAATCACTGACAGTATAACTGGTATATGGTGCTTTATGCCAGTAAATTTACAAGGTTCAAACACCTCGCAAACTTGTTGACTGATGCTACCATTTTTTTTTTCCCAAACTGCTTTAGAATGTATAATTATAAGCTTCTATAAAGGAACTGTAGCCTTCTCGAATCAGAAAGGGGAGGGCTCGGTCCAGTGTTTCAAGGGTACAGTCTGTATGAAGAGCACCAACTGAAAAGCAGATTTAAAAAAAAATGTTTTAGATAAGACAAAATGTGAAATGTATGAATTATTAACCCACCTGGACAAAGAAAATTGCTTACCCCCCTCAGTCATCAATGGCCATGCCTTTAACTTCACCATTTTGTCTCATCTGTGGAAGAGGGATATTGTAGACATGCGTCATTCCAGTGCAGTCTAACAACCAATTCCATTTGATCAAAAAAAGTTAGCATGTCTGCCTCTTGGTTGATAGGTTCCAAGTAGTGATGCACAACATGAAAATTTTCAACCGATACCGACAACTTCCTATGTATAGCATGGGGGTCGGCAACCTGCGGCCCCGGAGCCGCATGCGGCTCTTTGGCGCCACCCTAGTGGTTCCCTGGAGCTTTTTCAAAAATTTTGAAAATGGACAAAGATGGGGGAGGGACATATATTTAGGTTTTAATGTGATTTCTGTAGGAGGACAAACAAGACGCTAACATTCTTAACGTTTTCCTATGTTGTAAAAATGTGTCGAATAAATATTAAATGTCAACATTTCTGTCAACGAGGATTTGCGTCATACCCTGCGACACACGTTCTATTAGCAGGACGGGATACCAGGCAGGTGACTGTTGTAAAAAAAAAAATTGCATTTCATGTACAATTCACCGAGGGTACTGGCAAAGAATGGGAATCTGAAGGGCCGAGAGAAGCATTTTTAAAATGTACCCATCAGCTTCGATAGTTAACACGCTGCAAAAGTGCGTCCCATGCCTCGTTCATCTTAAGGCGCCGTTATAGCTGTTGCTCATTATGACATGCGTGTGTAAGTGTGTGCGTATGCGCGCGTGTGCGGTAACGAGTCGGTCTCGGGAGGCTGGTTGATCAAAAAGTAGATCTTTGGTCAAAAAAAAGTGCACTGCAGAGGAAAAAAAACATGTCATCATGAAGGCTCATTGTGTATTTGTAGCCAACTTGGTCATTTTGATAGTAGGCTAATATAGCTCATATATATTTTTAGATACATACAGCATGTGTTGCCTTCATTATTAGGCTTTTAATTTTTTGCAGCTCCAGACATATTTGGTTTTTTTGGTCCAATATGGCTCTTTCAACATTTTGGGTTGCAGACCCCTGGTACAGCCATATACAGATACTTTTTTTTTTTTGTTTTGTTTTTTGGGTTTTTTTTTTTTGGTACAGTACAAATATATCTGATTTTGCAGCTTAAAAGTACAAAAAACATTCCAACCTTGTTTCTAACTAAAGTAGCAATGTCGGCGGATTATAAAAAAAAAAAAAAAAAAAAAACGGAAAGGACAAGGTGCTTTACGTTTGGCTACTTTCTGAACTCTTGTCACTTCTTTAGACCAGGGGTGGCCAACCAGTCAGAGACTAAAAGCCAATTTTTTTACTGTGTTACTGCAAAGAGACACATCACACACACACACACACACACACACACACACACACACACACACACACACACACACACACACACGAGCTGCAGCGGTTACTACTTGGGTCAGCGTGCTACATATTTGACCGAAGATCGACTTTTGAAGCTATGAACCTCCCGCGATCGAGCCGATCGCGCACGTGCAAGCATATACACACGCGGGCGCCCAACCACGCACACGTGCGCATACACAAGCACGCACGCACGGCGAGATGAGCAACAGCCGGAACGTCACCGAACAAGAAACAAAATCGAAACACACAGCCACACAAAGTTTTTTTCACCCCCATTTCCTCCTCCTAACGCTCGCGCTCAACGTGGGACCAGTCCGCTGGCTCCCGGTCGATCACGATTGACGTATTGGGCATGCCTGCCTTAAAATCTGAGGTAATTCGCTGACTACCTTAGCATTTAGCGCTGAGCACCCTTGTTTGCACATGAGCGGTAATTTAGTTGTCATCTGATTGGTTGCCCTGTATGTCAATCAAGTAACGGGATTGATGATCGGCTAAGTAAATTCTGTGTATTTAGCACCGTTGTTTGAATGGCAGCGCCACCACCGAGGCGTTTTCAACGCTTGTCATTTGAAAGCCCAGGAGCCGCATTGAGCCTGCCAAAGAGCCGCATGCGGCTCGCGAGCCGCGGGTTGTCCACCCCTGCTTTGGACGGTGAGGTCATGAGCCTTCTCAAAAACTCTGATGCGTATCTATAGCTATTAATAAAGATGACTAAAGTTGCTCGCATTTTGTTATCACCCCCACTCATGTTTTATATCTATTTAATCATTTTAAAGAATGAATTGCATAGAAAATTATTTACTTAGCAGTAACATGTAACAGCAGTAACAATGCACAATGCATACGCATGCGAACACACATTTTGAAATGAAGGTAGTACCCCAAACATTTTAGTGCTAGTCTCCATTTTCATGTGAAAATCGGCCTGTTGCAAGAACAAATTTTCCCAGAAACTACCACAACAAAACAATCAGTTATTTTTTGTTTGCTTCTTTTTCTGCTTACCCGTGAGATTATTCTCATGTAAAGTAGGTACCTTGGCTCAACGAAGGTTGATTTCCAAGTGGTCCAGTCAATACTTAATTAAAGCTTAAGTTATTGAATCAGCTTTTCCTGATGCACACAGACTGACGTGTTTGTACAAACAAGCGAGCTGTAATCTCGCTCCAATTCCATCTTCTTTCGTTTTCATTTGGCTACATCCACACCTTTTGGGGTTTTTTTTTCTTGATTTTTCTCTTCCCGACCAAGGTTCGTAAAAAAAAAAAAAAAAAAAAAGGTTGTTTGGAACGGTGGGGCGCCAGTGTATTTATGAAGGAAGCAAGTACTATACTGTTCAGTCACCTCATCCAGCTCCTTTTTTGTCTCTTCCTCCATTTTTCGGATGTCATCCATGGAAAGATCGATCCATTTGTCAATCGAGCAGAATAGCTGTCTGTGGAAGTGGGTGAAAATGCGCCTCTCCGCCTGCACAAAAGTGTACGATCGTGAGGGTATACAACATGACAGTGACAATGTGTGCACTTCTGTGTTGCAGTTCACGCATCAGACCACTAGATGGTAATATGACTGACAAACCTTTAGAATGATGTTTTCCACCATTGACTGCAGGCCCCTCCACTTAAACTCTATCGTGACGAGTTTATAGGCACACATATGTGGACAGCTGGGGTCGTTGAGAATGTCTTTCTGCGATCACAAAAGAAAAAAAAAAGGCAAACTGTATGACTGCCACACTAAAATGTGATTATTCTTGTGAAAATGCCTACCTTCCATTCAGGTCCCAGGGGCCCCCTTCCAGTTTTTGCAGACTTAAATTTGGCGGGATCCTGATCTGCTTTGTACTCCTTAACAGAGTATTCATAAGCACGTTTAATCACATATTATATACAGTATATGTCAAGCAAGGCAATAAATAAATCATCTCCTCTGAATGGACTGAGATGAAATCTGTGTAGCTCCAAGTTATTGTTCCTTTCTTACCTTGTCACTGACAGGGTCAGCAATGTCGATGTGTATAACCTGAGCTTTATCCCATTTCTCGTGTCCGTGTATCTGCAACATGGCATTTCAAATCAAGCCATTGTGGCCATTGTTTTACAAAATACATGCACATACAAATAAATTCAAATAACATCATTAGCCTGATCGCATCACTTCCAGCATCTTTTTTTTTTAATCTTAACATCACAATGTCAGTCATCCAGGACATGGTCATTTGCACAAGAATTGACCCAAGGCAACTGAAATCTTATTTGTTCAATATGTTACTGCCCCCCCGACCTCTCATGTTCCAAAAAACGTTTGAAAATTACAATTTCAGTCTGCTATGAGGCAAAGTAAAAAAAGAAAAGAGTTTGTTTATTTCAGTAGTTCAGTTCCAAAAGTTATACACTCTGCATGATACGCATATCCCCAAAAAACATTTTGTCCGAAAGCTAAGTGGACTTTACGTACACGCAAATAAGTTTTACAATACAATATATCCTGATTTATATCACGCTTTCACAACAGCTGCAGCTGTAACAAAGTGCTTAACAAAAAAGTTTTGAATGTATTTGCCAGTCAAAACATTTTCCCTCCACAGTGGCTGCTCCACGCTTCCGTACAAATTTCTCTGTTAAAAACATTTTTGGTTGTTTCTGTAAATCTTCTGTTTTCTTAATATGGTAACATGCGTTTTTATCTGTATTCTGTCATCATCAAAATGACGTCTTCAAATGTTTCACTATTTGTCATAAATATTAAAAGTTTCGCTTTTTAAATTGAACCACACAATCCTAGTTTATTGAGAGGCATTTTTTTCTTTTTTTTTGCTCGTCTGCCTGTCAATTTACATTTTTGTATTACATCTATATAAAAACTGTATGGTTGGAAAAAATTGTTTACAGGTGCATACTGCAATATAATCAAAGTGTGTAGTGACCGTAAAATGAAAAAAATTCTGTTCTAGATTAATATACAAAAACACTTTCTACACTATTCAAATTTACTTATACGCTGTGATAAAACATCCAGGTGGAGGAATAAGTTGGTGTATATGATGGATACACAAGACAAAGCTAACACACTGCAATTACCATATTTTTCGCACTAAAAGGTGCACTGGATTATTTGGTGCACCTTCAATGAATGGACTGTTTTTTAATTTTTTCATATATTGCACGCACTGGACTATGAGGCGCAATCTACAATGCATCCACCACTAGATGGAGCTACAGCCCTTCATTTGACTCAAGAGGCGTTCATGACCGCCTCCAAAAAAAAAAAAAAACGTAAATTAACGATTACTTGAGTGAAACTACGAAAATTGAAAATACAGTAATGCATCAAAACAGAAAATTACAAAATAAATTCTATAGCCCCCCCAATTGAATTTACTTTGGCATTTCCATATGCATAGCTGCAACAGAACGATCAGATGTCAGTAAATTGTAGGAGACTGGACTGTCTCAGAAGTGTTTGTTATTTATTCCTTGGTTGTTTATTCACAAACAAGGAAATCACAAAATAAATTCTGTAGGGGGGCTATAGAATTTATTTTGTGATTTCCTCTCTTGATTTTCTGTTTTGATGCATTATTTTCCATTTTCGTAGTTTCAATGAAGGAATCGTTAATTTAAGTTTTTCCGAGGTGGTCATGAATGCCTCTTGAGTCGAAGGAAGAAAAGAAGGCACGAGACGGACAGACGTAACTGTATTTGTTGAAACTGTGAAAAACATTCATAAAGTGTGCGTTTTAAAAAAACAACACCACAGCTCTCCTTTTTTCGGAACTGCAACAAAAACTTATTTAATAAAGCAGCGACACAGTTCACTGAACCAACAGGAAGTTATAACATTGTAAGCATGTCTCCAGGAAGGAGCCTTGTTGGGGTCGACATATTACCGTAATAACCATACAAAAGGCGCACCGGATTTTAAGGCACGCTGTGAGCTTTTAAGAAAATTGAAGACTTTTCGGTGCGCCTTATAGTGCAGAAAATACGGTACAATCGGAAAGTCAAAGCAAACCCACAAAGTTTCTAGATTTATACACAACCTAACAACACAAGCACAGCACACAACTTACATTCTCCTTTTCTCCCATGTCCGGCTTGTGCCAAGTCTCAACCTTAATTTCAAAAGTGTCCTTCATGTATGAGTTCTGGAAACAAAGGACATATAGCATAGCGTCAGTCATATTCCAATGCACTCTATGAAATAGTACGGTTAAACCCAAGCACCCCGAGACACGCTCGTCGAGTGCCTCGTTGCGTCACGACATTTCATTTTGTCCACCATGTTTTAATCAAAACGTGTTTCACCCAAAGAACAAACACAAAGGAAATTATTACTTACAGTGAGAACTTTATCAGGGTTGTCCACGAGTGATGGATAAAGTGGAGAGTAGAGACTTTAAGTTAATACATTTGGTATATATATTCTCATTTATAAATGATAAATGCCAGATATTTAACAGACTATGAATTTACACCACAATTTGTTATTATTGTTTTTTTTTTTTTTGTGGTGGTATTCGGTGGCACTCACTGGTTCTGCAGTAGGGATATGCATTCCAGGCCTTCTCATGGACCTCAAGAGATCCCTTTGGAGCAAGCCGTCGCACGATGGTTGGCACTTTACTGTTGAGAAAAATAGGATGATATGAGTCGGGACGGATGAACCTTTTCAGGGACAGCGGCTACTACAGTGGACAGATTATCATGTTATCAGGTTACAGAGTGCATGAAAGGGTTCATTACAACTGGCCGATGAAGTAAGCACTAATTGATGCCTCAACTGATTCAACTGGCACCCTTTTGGTCATGATTTAAGACTTTGTGGCGCAAACCAAATTTCAAAAGCCAGTCTGATGTGGCACTGCTTTTTAGGGCGGACCAACGTCCAAAACAGTATTAGTCAGAGTCTTCCTTGCAACTTAGCTCCGGGCGGCCCAATAAATGTTCAGGTAGCGGCGTGCAACGTAACCTCTTGAGGTGGTAGATCTTGTGGGTAAACTGTCCCTTCTCCCCGTTTTCTTCATAGGGCTCATTGACCACCACTTCGACACCCTCTCCTCCACCGGTCTCATTCTTGCTGGCTTCTGCTACCGTATACAGCTGGCCCACTTGATACTGCAACAGAAGAAATTTTCATTCACCCTATTTTTCAAAACGTAAGTCACACTTTTTTCCACAGTTTGGCTTGTCATGCAAATTATACGCAGGTGCCAGGTGTATATCATGGTTGTCCAATTCCTTGTCTGGTCAAAATTACAACCCTAAATTTAGTTTTTATAAAATTTAAAAAAAAAAAATGACAGCTTGCTTGAGTTCCCATGACATCACTTTGTTCGAGTTATACAACCCCTGTCAAAAACGATGCAATCACCAATCTCAGAGTCACAGGTTATTCATTCTGTTGTTCAATTTTGTAGGAAAAACAATGACAAAAAAAAACTAAAGTCGTTTCAAATGGCAACTCAACTCAAAACATTCAAAGAAATCAAGGGGGGGGGGGTTAAAGGTGATAGTCAGTAACAGTTACTTGTGTGGACCAATCAGAGGGAAAAACAAATTGAAATCATGAAATTCTGAATGAAAAAAAAAACCCGACAAAAAGGACACTGCAACACCACCTCTGGTTTTTATAACAGCTCATAGTCAAACAGGCATAGATTTCTGAGTGATAAACAGAAGTCTTCTTCAGTCTGGCTCCAACTTTCTCGGTTTGCTTTTGTCAGATCAGCGTTTCAGGTAGGAGCCTTGTCGTGGCCATTTATTCCAACTTCCACCAAAGATTTTCAATTGGATTGAGAACCGGTGTACTTGTAGGCCATGACATTGACCGTATATGTCTTTTTGTTCAAGGAATGTTTTCACAGTTTTTGCTCAGGATAAGTGGTTTTGATAATGGATGGATGGGAGGGGATGCATTATCATCTTGAAAAATGATTTCCTTAATCCCCAAACATCCTTTCAACTGGTAGGATCAGAAAAGCGTCCACAATGCCACCATAAGCTTGTGCATATATCGAAGATGTAAAGACAGCCATTTCCCCAGTGCCTTGACCTGACATGCATCCCCATATCATCACTGACTGTATGTTTTCTTTGGGCAGTTGTCTTCATAAATCTCATTGGAAGAGTGCCAAACAAAAATTCCACCATCATCAGCTTGGCCAATGCAGATTCGCGAGTCATTACTGAATGTGACTTTCTTCGTATCGCTTGTCGAGCATGTGGTTTTCTTGCACCACAACAAGGACTGCAAAGCAATCAACAGCTCGTACAGTACTTGAACTGTCTCCACGTGTGCTGCCTGACGCACTGGGCTCCAGCACACCTTTTTTTGGAGCACTGAACATCACTCTGAATTTCCCAACGGTTGGAATGAAACAGTGCCTGCTTGGACTGTGTTTCCGAATACACCCATGGTTAGGGAATGGAAATTTTGGGTGCGAGTCTGAGCCCTAGTGTTCTTGGTCTCGGGACATCCTGAACCGGTTGCCCAGCCAGTCGCAGGGCACACAGAGACGAACAATCATCCGCCCTCACACTCACAGTGTGTTGCCAGCAATACATTTCTTCATGATGATCAGTTACCACCATATTCAATCAAGGCAATTCAATGAATAAGCCTCTAACATTATTAATTTAGTGGTAGATTTATGGCACACGAGTGAACAGTTTCCCTTTAGACCAGGGGTCCGCAACCCAAAATGTTGAGCCATATTGGACCAAAAAACAAATATGTCTGAAGCCGCAAACAATTAAAAGTTAAAATTACCAAAATTAGCTATATTAGCCTCCTATCAAAATGACTACGTTGGCTACAAATACACAATGAGCCTTCATGATTCAATGTTTTGTTCCCTGCAGTGCATCCTGTGGAGCAGGGGTGCTCAACCTTTTTTGACCGAAGATTTACTTTTCGATCAACCACCCTCCCGCGATCGACCCGTTACCGCACACGCATGCCATAATGAGCAACAGCCATAACGGCCCTTAAGATGCTCGAGGCATGTGACGCACTTTTGCAGTGTGTTAACTATTGTAGCTCACGTGTACCGTTTTAAAATGCTTCTCTCGGTCCTTCAGATTGCCAGTCTTTGCCAGTTCCCTTGGTGAATTGTACATTAAATGCTGTTTTTTTACAACAGCCGCCTGCCTGGCATCCCGTCCTGCTTATAGAAACGGGTCGCAGGCTATGATGCAAATCCTCGTTGACAGAAATGTTGAAATTTAATATTTATCCGGCACATTTTTCAGCATTGGAAAGATTAAGAATGTTTGTGTTATGTTTGTCCTCCTACAGAAATTATATTAAAACCAAAAATATATGTCCCTCCTCATCTTTTTCCATCTTCAAACATTTTTGAAGAAGCTCCAGGGAGCCACCAGGGCAGCGCTAAAGAGCCGCATGCAGCTCTGGAGCCGCGGGTTGCCGACCCCTGCTTGAGACGATCAAATGAATATCAGAAGATTAGCAAAGTACGCGTTTCTCCACCGCCCTGCATTCATAACTCTTTCTCTCCTACGAGCGACGTGGGGGAAAAAGGGATTCCCATCACTCCGAGACAGACAGCTTGGTGAGACCAAAACAACCCTGCAAATAAGGCACAGACAAGCTCATGTGACATCTGGTTGCTATACATTCTGGTCCGGTCTACTTATCCATCTAAGAAGTGGCACCTTGAGCTATTCGCGAAAGGTGACTGGCTACCTTTCATTCTCAATCTGGAAAAACCTATTTCCCTTGAATAAAGAGGAGGTGTCTATGCAAGGTTGAGTTGAAACAACGGAATGTCACGAAGCACGTCTAACCAGAATGTTTCCTTTGCTTCCTAGAGGATGCGATCCAAGCCTTTGTGAGATTTCAGGGCGACCAGTTTACATTTAACTGCAATTAACCAACAGGATGAACTTGATATGCATGGTTGGTCTGAACATGTTGAGCCAATATGCTCACTCTCTCCTCCTCAGTCATTTGAAAGCGTATTTATTGGACTGGTGAAACAATGTTAAAAGTTGTGTCACGGGGAATCTGTGAATTTCAAGCATTTCATCGCCTGCTTGGTTTAGTCATTAAAAAAAAAAAAGATAATCAATTATAAACATTCCCATTCACTAAAATATTACAGATAACTTCAAATCCATCATTTTAGATCACAATGTGTCCTTGCGCGCACACGCCAACCGTTTGAGTTGTTGTTCCTTGAAACAAACATCCACAACAATAAGGTTGGCGCAAATTAAACCGAAATAACTTTCAAATGACATTTAAAGAATGGCCATGTCTTCATCAAAATACCAGTATATTAAAAAAAAAAAAAAAAGACATCAGGTATTGCTCGAAACGCAAAAGTTGACAGTGATCCATGTTCTGCCTTGAAAAATTCTGTGTGCAGATAGACAACTAGGAAACAAACTAACCGTACTGTTGATATCAAAGATCATATCCACACAGACACTTCTTCATTATTTTCATTTTTTATGGGCCTTTTTCATCCATGTGCAAAGTTGGTTTATGTCCTTAAAAACTGAGTTTTGGGAAAACTCGGCACAAAGTGAAGACTTCTGTCAGCATTTGTGCATAGATCGGGAGAACAGCATTACTATTATTGTTTTGCATTGCTCGTCTGCATCCTGACTACTAGATTTAGCATATACAGTTCAAGATCAATATATTCAAACGTGTCCCTCAGAGTGGCTCATATCCAACTATCAAGATACCGGTTTTACATGTAAGTCAACAAGTGACGTTACTGAGTCCAGGATTTTGGATGAGAGGGTAGAAAGATCAAATACCTGCAAGTGTATCATCTAAACACATTTTGCAAATGTTACAAAAGCTATGGCTGCACGTAAATTGGTGTTGGCATGCAGTCCCAACCCTGTGCCCAAGAGATGCTTGATTCATTTCAACACCATATGGGACAACACCCCATCTCTATGCACACCTTATGACTCATTGACGAAAAAAGGTTGGGACGTTTTGTTTTGTTTTTTTTACATCCTGAAATGCTTCATCACTTCAGCATAAAAAGTGTTTTGTCCAGAGAAAATAAATAGCTCTATGAACATTGGATGGGCTGTTTTGCAATCATCAGAATTAACTGCAACAACATCAAATTAGACAGTCCTTGATGTATTAAGTACATGGGAAAGTCTTTACCTCATCCACTGACACGGGCAGGACGATTCGGCTAGGAGAGAAACACAAACATCAGACATTAGAACACAGGAGAACAAAAGATTTTCTCTTCAGTAAATGTCAACACAATGTCAAAAAATATTGAAATCATTCTTCACTTTCCTCGTCAATGTCAACAATCTCCTCCTCCTCCAGGAAAGGCCAGCTGGCACCAGCTAGCTGGCCCTCAATGACTTAAGTATTTGTCTCTCTTCTGATTGGTTGATCAGAGCAAGCCAAGTTCCAATGGCAAAACATGTCTGCCAACATCACTAGATGTCCACTGTCATGTATTTTACAGCTGAACCTTGGTTCATGAATGTCCCTGTTCATGAACAAAATCGCTTCGCTAACATGTTTGGACTAATGTTGCTTTGGTTGACAAACTGTGCTTCAGTTTGCGTACAGCCACAACAATTTATGAAGGAAGCTCATTTGTGATTTCAGCCGTACAGCGTGAACACCTGGAGCGAACAATGTTTCACATAGTCACTTAGTACGGCTTTCAAAAAAGCGCTAGCGATTATGCTATTAAAATAACCCTGGAATGTGTCGCGGTTCCAGCTGCATCTTGTGAGCTCCCGGCGCCTACCCTTCCCTGCCGTTGAAACAGTACAGTAATCCCTCATTTATAGCTGGGCTTATGTTTCAAAAACAACCTGTGATAAGTGAAATCCATGAAGTAGTCATCTTTTTTTACAATTATTATGTATACAATACTTTATTAAATGAAACCAAAGATTAGACCTATAAATAAGTGTTTTCTTACAAACAACTGACTGTTTTTAGAAATACTGTCATGAAGAAAATTTGGCAAGCTGCTCATCAATGAGGCGCGGAGAATGTTGAGTCTACAGTCCCTGAGCCACTTAGGTTAGAGAACACAATGGACAATAAAAAAAAAAAAACAATTTTAATGCATGAAAAAAAAAAAAACGTGGAACAGCGAAGCCCTGAAAGATGAAGCGTGTGTGAAGGATTACTGTACTGTACTTTTTTTCTCCATTTTTTTTGTCTTGCCCTTTGATAAATGGAGATTCTGAACTGCTCCATATGACTTAAAGTGGCACAGTTGCGCTCTGTAAGAGGTGGATAAAGCTAAGTTCCAACTGATGGCCGATAGCTACCAAACGCACAGCGTGTCGCTGGTAAAGTAACTGCCACTGTAAGTGCCCCTGATGGTGTTCACACACTTCAAATGTTACCAAACCCCCCAAAAAATTTAGTCAGTGTTTAAAATAGCTTGGGTGAATCTTCTTTTGACGTTAAAACTGGGGATTAAATCAGATGTATGTTTCAATATTGCCCTCTGCTGACTCCCACTACCTGCTACTTATACTAAAACAAGTTTCACAGAAACCTAAAGAGGAGGAAGAGGGAATGAACAAACAAATCAAGACAAAAGACAAGGGCTTGGTGTGTAAACCATGTACAGTGTGTGCGTGTGTCCCATTTGGAACATTCTCATGCTCCTTGACACAATATCTAATTAATTGCCACGTGTGATTGTCTAGCAGGGCAGGAATATTTCATGTGCGCTTTACATTTGATTTTCTATGGAATAACCCACGGCTTGTTGTTTCAATGCACTTTAAGTTAAATGTCAATTATATAAATGCACTGCAGTTTTGATAGCGAGTTTATTTTTAGATGAGGGTTGGTGTGACTAAGGTGTAATAATTGAACGTGTCTGCTCCCTTTAATGCACTTTGGACTGCGGTCAGGTGACAGATAACTACTGGATGTTCAGTCAACCAACAATGATTTTATTGTACAATTTGGCCGCTGCAATACCGTGTGAAATTTACGTTATACACAGCAGAACCACTCCATCATCCCATTTAAAACTTCACCAATTTGACATTGCCTTCCTTTTCAGCAGCCTCCACTTAATAGTTTCTACAGGTCTTAAAGGTATACTAGACCACCGCATAACACTGAGTGTGTATTGTGTGATAATGTTGTGTAAATTTGAGTAAATGCAATTAATAGCAAGCTCAGCAGTAAACTCCACTTCCTGTTTAATTACGTCGCAGTGTCACGAGGTCGGGGAACCGGTGGAAGTGTGCGCTTCTTGA